CTTACTCTGTTAGAGAATGAGGCCCGAACACCTCCCTAGAGCGAAAAAGCTAGCAATCGCATTGCTTAAAAACAATCCAGCCTAAGATTTTCGAAAAAATTGAGATCAGTTAGCCTGTACTTAAATTTACTTGTTCTTATAAAAAAGAGTGTAATGCATCCCTGGCGTTGATGTGTTTTTGGTAAAACGAGGCTGTTTTCCAATCGAGGTCTTTCCTCCAAAAGCCATGGCTCAAGTGGAGACGCCATTTTCTAGCGCCTTTTTCCCTAGAATCTTCTCCAAGGCTGTAGCAGGAGGTAGCAGGAACTCAAGGAAGGAGATGCTTTCCCCCTGCTGTAGTAAATAACAGAATCCGCAAAGTTACTAATCACAAATTGCTTTTAGAGTTATTAGGGTGCACCAAAAAACGGTCATTGTCCCCCAGTGTCTATCTAAAATCTTCACTTCTTTGCACTAAGCGCGATCTCTCCAACTGCCCTTAGTAGGGTGCATGGAGTGCCATCAATTTTCCCTCTATGGAGAAATGGCTTTTTATTAAGGGGGGCCATTAAGGTTATTTTTACAAGAGAGACTGACTGGTGTAATCCAAATTGCGACATTTAGACTTATGCCGGACGCTGAAAGATTTTTGCCGGACGCTTGAATCATGGGCAACTTTAAGCTCTTCATGAGCCCTTCAAGTCCACAGTGGCTTTTTCCCTTTTAGCGTCTGAAGGATATACTCCCCCATCTTCGGGAACCGTTCCTCTATTTCAAGGTGCTGGGTTGCCCTGTATGTGCCCTTGGAGGTGCAGAAATATTCCATAGCCTGTCTTATTTCTTGTTATAGTTTTCCCTTTGGATCCGCTCCTACAAAGTCAACTTCCATTTTAATGCATATTTGAGGAAAAAGTGCCACTCTTTCATTACAGTTCTACCTGGCATGGGAATTTTTCACCCAGAGTGAGTGCTGTGTCATCTGTTTGGCAAAAAACTTTTGGTGATTATTAGTTTGTCAAAATCCAAAATTCTCTCTTAACTTCCAAAAGGGATCATATAGTTTGTTATAAACGGTTTCTATTAAACAAAACTATACTTTTAACTATTTTACGACCATCAAAATGTAGACGATTACGTTATTCACAACCACAATAGTCGTATTGTCGATGATTTACAATTATAATTACGTGATTTCCCTCCTTCTAACCACAAGAAGGAAGAAGATTTCCGTTTATGAAGCGATACATCGCAATACACTAAAGACAAACATTCAAGGCCTATTGAATCAGAAATAAAGACTGTAGTTCTTTGATCAATATTTCTACTATGCTTAGCGTAATTGTTATTTAATTCACGAATAATGGCAGGCATTCTTATGTGGTTTTTTGGGTCCTTTTTTTAGTTACACAGCTATTTCAAGACATTCCTTTAATATTCCTTTCATGATTTTCTGCATAGAAATTTAAAACCAGCTCTCGCCCTTGCCAACTTAGCGCGTAGCCAAGGCAGCACGATTCCATCTCTCAAACAACAAGTTTAAACAACAACAACGATGACGACAGATAATATTACGGCTGCATAACATAAAATTTGAAGTTATTGATGAAAAATGTTTTATTTCCAATACTATCAATGAGATATTTACAATATTTTGATTGAAGAAATCCTCTTCTGGTCTAATTTTTTAACATGTTGAGAAACTTTGAGACAATATCTAGTTTGGGTGACTAAAAACTGTAACTTCTATGACTTTATTATAGCAATCACAAATAAAAAGTCAATTTTAACTAATATAAACTTTTTTCTAGCTTTTTTCTAAGTTGCGGTACAAAGTTGAGAAATTCGTGTACCGAGATTTTGGAAAGTTTCTTAAACTATTATCAAATGAGAATATAAAAGAACGGAAGAAACAAGAAAATAAATAGTAGATATTTGTGAATAAAAGCAAACGAGAAGAATAAAACTGTTTAAGGTGGCAGTTTTTATTTTGTTCATGAAGGAAAATGTAGAATTTATTGATGATAATTGTCAGAGAGCCATTATCTAAATATTCTATCATTTCCTTAACAGTCATAACATCTACATCATTTTAGGAGGAGGGAATACTATTTGCTGATATTATTTTTCATTATTTTGTTTCACCCTTGTGTACATGAAAGCGTGTTGTTATTTTCCTAATAAAACCATAATATAGTATTTACAATATTTATATTCATTTCAGAATCCTTGATTTTTTTGATTGTTTATTTTGGGAAGCAAAATGTGATAGATATATCCTGCGTAATAGATATTGTAATATTATTTCTTAAGTTTATCGCGATAAATCGAAAATTAGCTATCATTTCAATTTTTGTTTTTACTACAAAGCTGTCGTCGTTTTCTGAAGATCAGTAAATGTTTTAACGAAAGAATCAAAGCATTCAAAAAACTGTTCTCGAATTTTAAAACAAGAATCTTGCAGTGATACTTTGTTTCGTTAGTTTTCAGTTTTCGCTTCTCCCTGTCCCTTCTCGTGTCGGTTGCTTGTGTATTTTGTTATTTTCATAATTCGCAAGCTTTGAACGTCCTTGAATCTACAATGTTTGGTATTGTTTTGCTTCAAAGGCCTAGGGTGTCTAAACTCGGGATTATGTTGGCATGCTGTGTAAGAGGATTGCCTCAAATTCATTGCAAAAGACCGTGGGATGCATCTTTGGCTTAGGATTTCCAACGGGTGGCATCAATGCAAAACTGCGTGAAAGAGCATTTATTTAATTCGATATACCGAGGTAATAAGTTCTAAAATCGTGTGAAGTAGCAGAAAATCCTTCCTTAATTGACACGACACGAATAAATGCTTATTTTCTCTCCTCTCATGTCACCTGGAAACATCTGATAACAAATGTGGGGTAATTTCTCGAGAGTCTAATTGACTTCTGGATAACGCCTGTGCAGATTTTATATTAGTTGGCATAAAATGAGCAACAAAGGTTAAAAACATCACTAGTTAGTCATACTTAGCTGAGATGAAAAACAAAAGAAATGACCAGGGCAGATGCCGTCATATCAAGACATTGTATGGGTTCCATTTTGATTCATAACTACGTCATTTTGAATTTTTCCCATACAATACCGAATCATGCTGGGCCAAGAAGAGGGAACTTGAGGAATTAGGATGTTATCACAGAGCAGCTCAGTTAGGCCAGTGATTCATTTAATAGGCTTGTAGCATCGCTGCTGCGCTTCACGGCCTACTTTTTCTTACGAAGAGATGTTGTTCAGCTTTCCAATTGCCCTTCCCAGATTTAAAACAATACTGCGAAGTCTTATGGATAGTCTGCATCTATGACTTTGTCTATACTTAAAGTGAGGTTATTAGTATCAGTAGAAGGCCTGTTTCGCTTGAAGTCATAGAGTCTCTTATGTGTCCAGAGAAAACCAAACACTTAAAATTTTTAAAATGAAATGCACTCAGACTAGCCTCCAGCAAACAGCAAATCAGACTTCCCTTAAAATAGTGCTTACGCGTATTTAGATTTTCATTTTGCAAACGTCTAAAGGATGTAGAATTAACTATAGGTTTAAAAGTGGGAGAATTTGCAAACATCAAAAATCTAGTAGAGAGGTGTTCACATGAACGTCGTCTCTTCTTTTTATCAACGATTTATCAACTGAAACTTTATTGGGCACTGTCTTTATTTTATCCATAAACACTGCAGAAACAACCACTGCAATACAGTGCAGATTGCTTCGCGGGCAATTCGCTCCTTCAAATACCGTAAAGATTTCCACCAAGACCAAAGGATGTCTAGGGTTGTCAGATAAAGAAAAGGATTTTCAACCAAGGTGTACGAGATTGCACTGGAATGATTTACCCATCGGATTCTTCTACGTTTTGTCTTGCTTCGAGGCCCTACAAGGAAGTTGCTGGCCGCTGAGCCAGTCTCTTTGCTAGATATAGTTGCTCGGGTATCATGGGAATATAATCTGCATTGTCATACATAGTGGTACAAACAACTGGGCGATAGGATCTGTAGGATAGCTAACCATGAAAATATCTGCACCTCATAGGCCAAATTTAGTCGTGAAAGGCTTTACGGGCTTACTCCGTGTAATCACCCGGAACATGTTTTCGTATGGAACTTTTTTTGGATTAACCTGTGGTTAATCAGGTTTTTGATTTCTGCTAGATATTTTGATTTATCCCATCAACATCGTGAATGCGAGTAATCGAGTCAAGTTATTAATCTCATCATATCTAAGTTACAATTTGAAGACAAGCTCCTTTTGAAATGGTCGCAGTTTTAATCTTTGTAGATTTTTGATTTTAGGTTCAATTTCAAACGTCAGTGCTTGATCTAAGTATGCAAGTCATTTAAACTTGGATGCAAACATAAAGCGCATATGTCTTGGGTTTTTAATGAGATATGGGTTTAAAACCAGCGAAGATAGTTTTGCAAAAGTATGAAGAAACACTTAGTCAAGTTATGCTTGTTTCTTAAAAAAGATTAACGTCACAAGAATTTGTTTGTATTGCAAAATATTGTTAACAAATTGATCGTCTTGAAAGCTTTGCCTTAAGAAGTAAACAATTATTCTCTGTTCTCTTTCATTTCTGAAAAAGATTTAAAACTATATGTTTTTGTATTGTTATTTTGCCCAAGTAATTAGAAGACATATTGCCGGGTAAATGCCCTTTTAGGGTTCACGAGCACTGTAAACGCAATAGCTACATCGCTTGCCGATTGTACTATACTACCGACAGAGAGCACAATTCATCTCAAGATTTGTGCTGTTTCTTTTCAATTTCTGTTACTTTATGGTTGGAATGAGTAAGATGAAATAATGAAAGATTCCGTTAACATTTAATAAACAAAGTGTCCTTATGATGTCCAGTTTCATAATAAAGACCGGTGCAGAGTCTCTTAGATTAGAGAATGGACGTCTTGTGTAGGCCAACGTTCTGTCTTTGCCCGTATCCTGTTAGCAATTCCAAGATTCATTGATCATTGTTTTGTTAACTCTGAAATATTTTGTTTTAGATGACCATCGAGTGAAATACCACGAAGAGGATCCGAGCCAGTTTCAAACTGCTAAAGCACGTCGGCCTAGACGACATACGACAGGAGGACCGCAGCAAAAGGATGCCATTGAGAAAGCAAGACAGATGATTGCAAACGACCCTGATATCGATTCAACGGCTCATGAAAGCAGCTTAGGAACATTGAACCGGAAACAACTTGTTTCATTATTGAAGACTAGATATGGTGATGATATTGAGAAGTATCGATCGCTTAAAAAGGTTCGTCTTCCAATCATAGGACTTTTAGACCATAGAATATTTATCTTTTTTCAATTTCTAAGCAGTTACAAGTGTGTCCCTTCCTTTATATTTTCATCGTCTAAGTTAGTGTTATTTTATTATACATAAAAGTTAACATAAAGATTAGAAAGAACTTTAATATTGCTCCTGAATGCAATTACTTTACCTTCACGGGCATCGAAAAAGTACAGCTTCAGTCATGGTAAAGTCAAAGGAAAAAAAATTTTGACTCTTGACGAATTTCATCGTTTTGTTCATTAGAGGGTAAGAGGCGCTTTCTGAGTTGAAAGTATGATCCTAGAAGCATACCTTTCACAATCTGTGTTTATTCGAAACTTGCATTAATTAAATACCAGTTTTAACTTAAAGATCCTTGCTTTAAAGCCTTCGTTCATGCGAGGAAGGTGTTTTTTCTTGTCGGGGAAAAATGTGAGCAGCGTAAAGGTTGAAACTCTTAAAACGATTCAGAGATCGGTGAAGGCTGTAACTCATGTTCTTGATGTTGCCTTTTCGGTAAAGGCCTCCACCATGGGAAAATTTGATATTTTGAGATTGAAATTACGTTGTTTGAAAACAGTCATCTCCGTCGTGAGAGCCAACAGGTAACTTGTCATATCGACTGAGGCCATATGTAAACAATCACAAGTTAGCCGGTCAATTAAGTATCCTCAGGTGCACGTGATAATAAATATAGACCATTTTGAAATGCCCAGAAACGCAGTGAAGTTTTTTCTATCAGATAATCGTAAGGTGATACATTTCATTTTATTTTATTTCATTTTAAACATATTTATATTGGGTTACAGTTCAAAAATTAGTATCTGTTTTGCAACTTTGAATGCATCATTTGCTAATTTTTAGAAGACAAAGAGTCCCTTGAAACCGTACTTTATCTTAGGTTTCACCTTAATCAACTAAAGAGTAGTTATTGATAAATATTTTTGCCGTTGTACAAGCCAATATGACCAGATTAAGACTGTTTTCTGTCACGGCTGTTTAAAGAACCAAGTTTCAATAATCATTTTTTGCTTTCTCTAGAAGGGAGCGGTAGATGAAGTCGAGCACCGAAATCTTGTCGAAAATGGAACCGCAAAGCGGAAAAAGTCCCACACCATATTAACGTACAAAACGTCAGGTGGGGTTAATGGACACGTGCGAAGGAGCAGCACGAGCAGCCAAGAAAGCTCTCAGACGTCACAGGAGAGCTTGAACCCTATAGCATCAACGAGAAGTGAAAAAACAACAAATCAAGTCATAAGGACCACAAAGGTGAAGCAGTTTGGGCGAACTAGGAAAGGTAAACCTGAAAACGTTTTGTAAGCTAATGTCTTTTTGTAAAAGCAAGTTGATGACCTTTCTTATTGATATTTTGTTTGCTTTGTTTTAATAATAATTGATCCTTTGTTCCCTGTGTGGAAATGCTCGTCTGAGGATTAAGCTTAACAGCAGAAATTTGCTCAACTTTTCGCAATCTGCAAAGTCGTCCAGAAAATTAATTGCGTATTTTATTACAAATTTTATTTGAAAAAAAATTTACTTAAAGATGAAAGAGGTTTTAAGGAGTTTCTGTAGAAAAACCGCATTTTTCATCAAACGTTTGGTGCTATTAATAACTGTATGAAGTTACAAATTTCTATTTGAACAAATGTCTTTAAATTGTAGAAGTTTTTCTTTCTTTTAAATTTTAACTCGATATCTGCCGCAAAGGACCCTTCACTCCAAAATCTCGTATTTTAGAATCTTTTTATTCCTGACTGAATGTTTCAAAGTATTTTTTTTCAAAATTCCCCTTTCATTCTTAGAATTCAGGACAATTTCGCACAGATTCTTTAAGTTATCAGTCAGTCTTTTCATTAAAGAAACTGAAACTGTTTTCAAGAAACAGTCCTTACATGTCCTGCCTTCTGCACATTAAACCATAACATAGCATCTTTACCCCTTTAGGCAAATTTGGACCTTTTTGTTTACTTTTTTTCGATTGACAGCTTCAGATGGAAGCTCAGTTATGAGTGGATATTCATCGTACGGCGAGGAACCTCATGACCAATCGACTGTGACCCAACGAACTGTCATAACGAGAAAAATTGTGAAGCAACCTCAAAAAGACAATATCATAGAAGCACAACAACAACGATCTCGCGAGGATGAACTGAAGGAACTGGAAAATTTGCAGCGTCAGCAGCAAGTACTTGTAACTGAACGTCAGAGCCAAGCCAGTTCTCAACACCAACAACAGAAGCAAGAAGTAATCGATCGCGACAGTGAGTAGCAAAAGTGTTGTTAACCTATTTCAATTTTTGTTCCAGGCCATCGTGATCTTTTTGATCGAAGCGTAGATGGAAGGTTTTTCGAAACCGTTGTTGAAGCGTAGATCGCATACAACAGGTCGTATACGCGCTGTTGCAAGGCGATCTTATTTCAGAAGCAACTATTTTTTCACATCTCAATCAGGTTGAAGACGCGGGTCGTTGAAGACCATCATGAGCTAATCTCATACGGCAACCACTACTTGATCCCCTAGACTAAGCGATCAGGTTTGCCTTCTTGCCTAGGAGGGAGGACAGATTTCCGCTCTCCTTAATCGCTGCTATTTGCTTTTCGTTCGAAAACCGTGCACCAGATCCTATTTCGGATGCTAGGTACTTGAAAATGGATTACTCCTGATTCTCTTGTGATAACTATAAGTGCTCACTTAATCTTCTTATAATCATGAATTTCCGTCAGACTGACATGCAACAATCGCTGCTTTTTCTGCAAATAGATTGATTTATAGACATGTAGTTTATACACTAAATAATCAAGGAACAATCTGAGGTACCTGAATAATTTTCTGCTGAGGGAGGAATCCACTTTTACAGAAACGGGAAGTAGAAATTTTGAGGCAATCTTGATTTGATGTCCATCAATGATCATTTGGCTATAGCATAAAAGGTTTCTACGACACTTTATTTTGGAGAGCCTATGACAAAAAACCTCAGTTGTAAACGCTGATGTCCCAATGCCCCAATGGCCGTCATTGCACCCATTACTTGACGCACTGCCGCATTCATTCCTGTTGCTAGTTTTGTGACAGATTTGTTAGGTGTCATAGCCACTCTAGTCTTTGAACTCGTCAGTTCAAACGAAAAAGGTATCTAGGACACTTTATTTTGGAGAACTTATGACAATATCAGTTAAGCCAATTGCCAGGCTGTTATGCCAATTGATTACCTATTCGAAACATATCTTGCCTTTTGCCTTGAAAACTCATTTTTAGACCTTGCTCTTACTGTCAATCCCGTTTGCCGTTTGCTGCAGCTCATTGAGAAATTCAAAAACATATGTCATTGAGAAATAGAAGAGCCGCAGCGTGATGACGTCATTGAAGCTTTTTATTTTTCAAATTCGGACGGTATCTGAAACAAAACAATGAAAGGTATCTCTGAATATGCAAAATCGGCCAATTCAAGTTGGGTCTCTATCCAATCCTTGTAATTTGGCCTTTGGGTTCTAAAACTCATGAACCAGGCCAATACAACAATAATCCATTCAGTAATCTTGTTATTTTTTCTGGTTATGTGGTCAAAATTTTAAATTGAAAAACTTATGTTTTTGACCTCAGCTTTCTGCCGTTGTTCCCTTTTGCAGGCATGTATAATCTTATTCGATGAAAAATAAAAAATTGGCTCTGTGATAATGTGCCCTGTGATCACTCTACGCAACAACATATTGTGACCTCGTTCTGACTTGAACGACTGCTTTTGAACCTCGTATCGAATATCACGCCTTCACCCAATCAATATTCCTATCCATTTGCTTTTTCCCTGCACCACGCGATGCTTTTGTGGTAGCTGCGAAATTATAACCAGCTCGTACTGAAGCTCTGCTGGTCAACCACTGATCTGTTTCCGTTGCCAAGTTGTTAATCTGTCAGCCAGAATCTATTTTTCGTGTTAACCGTGTTGTTCCTTCTTATCGCTTTGTATAAACCTTGCAGTCAGCCTTTAGACGCTCAAAACAGATAAAAGGCAGGAAGGATGAATGTTCCTTTGACTAGAGACAGACAATGAAGAAATACAGTCTTCTACAGAGAACATAGCTCGTAACGAAATTTTTTAGTGAAAAGCCACTTGTGTCATTGGAGATGTTGGTCACAACGTTCGCGGGTTGTGTATTCTACTAACTGGACTTATTCCTAAGTCGAATATTTCTTAAGTGTAATACTGGTCGCTTCTAATTCTGCTTCTACTATTTCCTCTGTAATCAATTTAGATAAAGGCAAAGGGCTGATTACATGCTGACTTTTCAGCCCGGAACCTGAGCTGTCTCGATAGTTGGATCATCTCCTATTAATTCAAATAATCTGCATCCCCCTATTAAATGAAGACTTTCCACCTTCATGGCCAACGAAAAAATTTGTTTGGTAATGAATAACGATGACTTGGTTTGCCCAACGCTGTTCGTATCGTCGCTATTTATACTCATGCCTTCGATCAAAAGGCATTGTCTCTTTTTCCACAAAAGGCTGTCTGATTAATATGAAGAGCTTGTGTCCTGTCCTGCTCCAGGAACTCTGTATGTTAATCACAGTGATTCAGATGTAATCCAAATTTGCTTTTTTCGTCATTATTCTGTTTACGGATCTGGTTGCCTCTGAATCAAAGTCAATGATGAATTAACGGTTTGGGATTAGTTGGATACGAAACGTCTCCAGGTTTCATGGATAGACTGCCGTTTTCGGACTACCCGTAGGAGTTTCTTGATCCCATCATCAACCCACGTGTTATACTGTAAAAATTGGAGGATCTGGAAAGAAAATTTGGTGCATTGACCATGAGGTATCTGTTGTAGCTATCTTCGATCCCCACATGACACTTCGTTCATTTTGTTATCTAACAGCTCTGACGGGCACTATTCTTCTTCACCTCAACGTCATTCCAAAATTCTTGCATAAAACTTTACCACACGACTAATTTCTTCATAATCCTGTGAATTCTGATTGTTTATCGGCAGTCATGTTTGCATCAATGACCGACGATTTATCAGCAATTTGTAAGCCGTAAAGTGCTTCTTCTAGGCCTCTTCTAGTGCAACAAAACTAATGAATTGCCTAAATGATGGTTCCTTCTCAGACTATTTTGCATACTGTCATTCATTAAGTCAAATTCCATACTAAATTTAATGTGGCAACCTCTCTACACTTTGAATCCCCAAGGCATGACAAAAAGTTTGATTCAAGGATTGTTTCTTTGTATTAGAGGACTTGACGTAATTTTTTTTAACTTTTCATCCATCCTGTATCCAGAAATACAAAATTAGCGGTTAAATTACGAGCTTCGTGCTTTAAGGGTTTAATTGCGAGCTTCATTCTGTTTCTTTGTCTGCAATGGCTCAACCTCTGTTGTCACTTGTCATCTCTTTTTCTCATATTTCTCTTTCAAACTTCATGTATTGATGGCACTAAGGTTTTTGTTTGGCAATTATTTTATTTTAATTTTCGTTCAATGAACTTCTTCAATTTCCTTAAGAGATATATTAAAACCATCAGCAGGCTTAATAGATGTATAGCATCTGTCTCCATCTGATTTGCCCGAACCTCAAATTATATGGTTAGCTAATTTTGTGAACCTTCTGAATTGAGTAAATAACGAAATGGTATATTTGACATATGAGGAATATTTGCCAATGTGCTGAAGTTTCGTTTCACGTTTATATTCTTTGAAAGTCAAAGCTTTAACCTTCTTCAATGTAATTATGTCTTTGAATATTTCAAGATTTATTGTTCAGAACTGCTGCATGCAGCGTAAATTCTCTAATTCTTAAGCTCAACCAAAATCCACAAAATAGAGTCTATTTCTTGTTTATCGCTTTACAATCAAGTCACATAAAATCAGGCCTGGCCATAAGACTTTTGGAAGGAAAGCAGTAAACAGCTCACCTACTAATCTCTAAGTGAAATATTTCTAGATACATAAGAATATAAACAAAGGAAAAATTGATTTCAAGAAGAGCAATTTGCTTTTCAGAGCAATTCAGAAGAGCAATCGGTAGCTTCCCTTCAGCATTTGTTGCGTGCCTGGAGGATAGCAAGAGCGATGGCTCCTCAAATGACCAGGCCTAATATGTTTATTTATCAAATCTTTTACAGACGTCGAGAAGAAGCATGCATTTTTTATATCACCCACAATTCTGAAGCGGAGGCTTTCATTAATTTATCCTATCTCTTTCACAGGGGTGTTATTTCTACAATACAAAGACGAGATTAAGCGAGTTAATATGCCAAAGAGTATCAGTTCTCTTGATACACTTAAAGCTCTGTTCGTTACGTCCTTTCCTGGAAAGTTAAGCATGGTTAGGATAGATGAGCGTGGTTTAATTTACATAAAAGACAAAGATGCTGATATCTTTTACGAGCTCGAGGACTTGGGGTGAGTAATTCTTTTTCATTTGAACGTTCGGTCGTTAGTCAGTGCACATGTGTCGCATCGTTTGAGTTTGTTTCAAGGAAATTTGAATTCAAATTTTTTACTTCATCTTTGTTGGACGCAGACACGTGACTTCGTGTTTGTTGTTCATGGAAGCAAAAAAGGTAAGAAAAAGGAATGTTAATATCTTAGTTAGTATCTTGGCCTGTTTGGGCCTGGTCGTCGCCATTGTCAGCCCAAAGCAAGGCATTTGTCACAGGCCGTTTAATTCAACAAAATTCATAATCGATGTTCGAAAGTAGCCTGTCAAAAGGACCAAGAAATATCACTTAATATTATAATTATTTTCCATTAAATTTTGAGTTTTAATTATGTCAATTTGGCATAAAGAAATTGCGTATCATGGAACAAACGGTGAAATAATTCCTATTTTTATTGATCACAAGTTTGAAAGGAAAAACTTTGCTCTGCTGAATATTTCTGTAGAAGATTTGAGAAACAACACGACACTGTGTACAGATGTCACTCCATTTTTTCTGTTTTTCTTCTATTTTACTTTTTTTATGATTTTTGAAGCGTTGTTTTTCAAAACCATCGTGTTTTGTTTAATAATTTCAATTTACACTCCTCTTTGTGATAAACTCTTGACCTGCATCAAAATCAACTGGCCTGACAAATCAACTAGGGTATTTCACGTAGCGATAACCAAGTTTGGATCAGACAAAGGACATGACATGCTTAGTGCCCAGCTGTAAACCGAAAACAAGCCCCACCCACGGCAATCTTTGCTTCTCAAGAGGAGTAATTTAGTTTTCCGGAAACCAAAGAGGTTTTGCTTCAGTTTTCGGAGCTTTGTAAAGGGGAATAATGTGAATAGGGATACTCATTCATCGTTACCCTTATAGTTAGCCGGTATTTTTAATGATATGTCTTGTTAGGAAATCTAAATGCCTGTGAAATCTTGCTATTCTTGGTTCTAACTAATATGAATTGAAATGTCTTTTTCGTAAAGATGTCAATTGTTAGAAAGTAATTCCATCGCTAGACTCGTTATCCATTCCTATTTTAAGCCTGCTCATCTGGCTCCCTGTTTACTACAAGAAATTTGTATAACTAATCACCCAGCAAACAGCGGCCTTAACTACCTTGGAGTGTAGATATGTTCTAGAAAAAGAGCCAATTAGCATAAGTAATCATAAGTCACGCAAGTTTATATTGGTGCGAAAAAAATATTTCAATTTTATCGTAATTTTAACGTTGGGAAGCACTGCAGCCGACCCTGTGCTCTGAGACTTTGCAGGCTGACAAACAGAGTTTATATGAAATTCCTCCTATTAGCCCCCTCGAATTAGCTCTCACCCTGGAAACGAAAAATGTTTTTAAGCCCCCATCCTCGAATAATCCCCCACCCTGACATGCAAATTTCTACAAGAAATGATTTTGGTCCATGATAAATCATGTATTCAACTGAAAATTTAAACCTAAAAGTAAACTTCAAAAGAGTGAAAAAGCTTTGAAACACGCTCTTTATACAGCGATTGAATTCCCCTACGAGATGGTATAAGGACAGGATTTTATCATATCCTACCTTTTTTCATGAAAATAATTTTTCACTAGAAATATTATAATGCATTCTGTAATAAATCCATTTGGGTCTTCAGTGCGCCTTCAGATTTTTGCGAGAATCATACTTGTCAGCATAGGAGGTTCTTCATGCTGACAATCTATTGTCTTACCTTACTATTTTCTTTTGTTCATTCACCTATGTATCGTTTGAGACTCCAGCTCAAGCATCAATTACTGCTGTTCAATCTTAGATGACGTCAACAGCCTTTACACAGCTACTCACCATCAAATTTTCTTAACTCTAGTTTCTAGCTCCTATGACAACATGTAAAGTAATAATTTTGTTTCCTAGAAACAGTCTCTAAAGAAGAAAATAATTCCCTTTTGACACCTTTCTATCTTTGTCTTATGGGAACTATTGCAATCTCAGTTTTTGAAAAATGATCAAAAGTTTCTTTTTAGCGGTTTTAATACTGAGGAAACTGGATGCAGAGTCAACCGTAGCTGTTATTCTTTGTTTGCTTACAAAATACTTCATTCAAGCAATCAAAGAAATCGGCGTTATCTGATTTTTGTGAAGAGTAAAGCTGTTTTCATTCCACGAATAAGTGAATAACTTTCTAAATCTCCGTTTGAATAAAAAGGCGAGACAGCCAGGTATTTATAAGAGGGTGTGCCCGAGGCCGACAAAAGGCTGAATTTAACTCTACATAATTCGCGGGTGTGGCTTTTAAAAACTGTCACTGTTTTTTTCACGAATTAGACGTCTTTTTTACTTCTGATTGATTTCTTTTGCTAACGTTATTGGAAAAGATCTGATTTGTCTCAAGTTAGACGCGCCACATTCTAGATTTACAAGACTCAAATATGGAATTCGTTGTGTTGTAAGTAGCTTTGCAAGTTACAAGTTGTAGCTATTAATTGATTTAAGTCGCATTTGTCGTAAGACGTAGCAGAACACGCAGATAGGAGATTTAAAAGTTTATCCGATCAAGGTGATTGTGAATACTTGTTCATCGCTCACTTACTTGATCTGTATGCAACTGAGATTGTCAATTGAATTTACTCCAAATTTTGGTAATTAAAAAATTTCTTTTTTAGGCCACGGTGTTAGTGGAAGTCTCATAAACAACCAATTTTTTTTATATTTTGTTTACTTTTTTGCTTGTTTGGATTGAGTCAATCAAGTGAACCTGACTGACTGACTTACTAGAACCAGTGCATTCATTATTTTGAACAAATAAACTTTTTCTTCTTTTAAGAATAGGTCGTATAAGATTATCAAGGATGATAACCGAGATTGTCGAAATGATGATTCAGGCTGGGTTGTTACTAGCTATTTAGCCCAAGAGGCCGATATCTAGGTCCTATTGGCTTACAAAGTAGGCAAGTCATCATTCATTTGCCGAAAATTATAAAAATGTTCCGACCACATGGATTGCCAAAAAGTCCTTTTTACAACGGAATTCTTCCAAGGAGGCTGTCACACCCCATACGCCCCCTATAGCCACGACCCTGGATACAGGGCTGTTGCTATGATACAAATGTTCCCGCTGGGTGAATCTATATTTTCATATTTGTGTCCTTATGTGACAAGGACACTTGTCAAGGAACCTTTTCAAGAAAAGATTGGTACTGTAGTCCTCGCGGCTTTAGAAACAGACTTGTGTGTAAAGACTTCAGAATCAGATTTATTAACCAATTCTGCTTATTTTTAGTAACCCCTGTGTATACCATGTGTCTCCCTCACTGGATTCTTTTTATTGTTGATGTTACAGGGCCGGCGAAACGTATTTGAAAGTGGAGGCTAAAATATCAAAGTCTTGAAAGGGGGCCGCCACCATGGTTGGCAGCAAGAACAATTTTAGAATTATGGTGTCTTAGGGATGGCCAGAAACTGTATCTAAAACGAATTTTGACTGAAGGTGTCGCATAGTCGCGTCTATTGTGATGTTGACTTGAGATAGAAAAGTTTCGCAAAGTTTTAGAATAACCACTATCATATAGCTCGTAATGAAACCTTTTTTCGATTTTAAAAGTACCCAAAATAAGATGTGGGAGAAAAATAAATAAAACACGGATTAAAAAAAAGAATTAACGTTGAAGTATCAACAGAAGAACTATCAATTAAAAATAATGAGGCTCCCTAGACCTTGAAGCCCTGTGGCAAATTGCCCCCTTGCCCCTCCCTCTCGGCGGACCTGGATGTCACGAGAACCAAAAAATCCACTGCTCACTGAGAGGTAGGCAAAAGGCTTTCGTGATCGCTTTTTTCTCCTTCCCAATTGCATTGGATTTTAGCAAATTTATTTGTTCAAACATCGCTTTTCAATACTGCAAATTTTGTTTGTTCCTGCACTCTCTATTCATCTTTGTATCCTTTGCTTGTTTCTGAAAATTTAAAGGAATCTTTTTATTGTCGGATAAGTGCATTCTTTTAAGGAATTTGGTTGAGTGACAGAAGCTCTCAAACTTTAATCAAAGTCAAATGATTATCAAAACGAGAATTATTTCCAATGTTTGCTTGTTTGCCTTGCACCACACCAAGAGAGAAGTGACAACTTTGACAATGCATTCATCTTTTAGTAGAAGTGTTTACAGAAAGCTGCAAAGTAACCTTGGTTCGTGACTAAAGAGACCTAATAAAAACCTTCATCATTTGCTTGTGTTAAAGACTGGATTGTCACCACTAATGAGCTTTAGTATTCATTTTCGTTTATTTTCTTTATATCATGAAACTGTTTGGTAGTGAATTTTTTAATGCTGGATATAAAATGCAAGTTTTGCACATAATGCTAATAGTTATGCATTGACATAAGAAACCGAGTCCTTTGATGACCAAAATATTAGGAAACCATAGAACTTATCACCCTCAACCCTTATAAGAAACTGCTCGAAATCTTTCTATACAATACAATACAACACAATACAATACAATAGAATACAATACAATACAACACAATACAATAGAATACAATACAATACAATACAATACAATACAATACAATACAATACAATACAATACCGATGGGATACGGCGCCTATTTTCTGTTAAATTGACACAGATAAATAGAAAATGCAAGGCACCTTGTGACTTGTTAGGTATTCTTTTTCATGTTACCTTGTGTTGTGCTGTTGCGTTTCTGAACTGTAGCTACTGAGCATTTGGTATTGAAGAAACCTTACAGAAATGTCTGGCACTAAAATTGACAAAAAATTAAGACACAGAGTGCTAATCCCGAGCTTTGTTAGAAAGCTAGTGTATAGAAAGACAAAGTAGTTTATATCGTTGAAACCCATGAGAGTTTCGTTTGGTTTTACATCACTGCAAGAATATTTTTAATCTTTGTTCTATACTAAGTAACGTACCAAATAAGGGTGCACTACCGGGACAAAATGACTTGTCCTTTGTTTGTTGGTGTCCGTTGTTCATTGAA